AAACTGGAGTTCGAATGAAAACCTTTATGCGTTAACCAAACTTGTTCATCAGTTAAACATTTGAAAACAGTAATCTCCACACTAATAGTAATTCACAATATAAAATCCATTTCTTTAACAACAGCTATAATGTTTTAACCTACAGCTCCTAACGTCGTCTGTAAGTTACCACGAATCTAAATATGCATAACAAACTCTTTGAAACGCGCAGGTGCTTGCTTGGTACGTGTAGAGCGTCTGACGTTCCCCTCTGCGTTGTCGCGTAGAGCATCGTGTGGTTCGTCCAATGGTAACTCCACCATTGCTTCATCATCCATTTCTTCTCCATTCGCGACTGGATGTACGCGTTTGGACTTTGAAAGATTGAGTGTTATCTCATGATCTCCCCGCTTAGCGGTTACCATGCTCCCTTTTCGATTCTACACCTTGTATGCTCGTGGATCGTACGATGTAGACAGCTTATTTGACCTTTGTTGCTTCACTATGACCGTATCACCGATTTGAATTCTACTCTCTCTTGCATGGCGTTTGTAGTCAGCATAGGACTTCATCTTGTCCTTCCTCCGCTTATCGACTGCACGAATATCTCGAGCTTTCCTGTCTCCCTGAAGGTTAGTTTTTGGTAGTTGTACCTTCATCTTTCTGTTGTTGAGGGCCTCTGCTGGTGACATCCCAATGCTCGAGTGCGGCGTCGCTCGATATTGAAGAAGAAATCGAATTAAATCGCGCTTCCAATTTCGACCTTCGATGTTAGACACTCGGATTGTCTTATTTAGTGTTCTCATAAATCGTTCAGCTTCTCCATTTGCCTGTGGCCACAACGATGTAATACATCGATGATGAAATCCCATCCTCGTCGCCAATATAGTGTTGTAAGCTCTTGCCTCTGAACACTCAAGTAAACACGTCTGTTTCTGTTCATCACACAGGCTCAAAGACCCCGTATGTTTTATTACCACCGTGCCGTGTTGCATATACAATAGTGTCATAGATCACATGTTCGTAAACGAATACAGAAAGTAAAGCATAACATACTAACTACACTACAGTTAGTGTTGCGGCATTTCACAGGAGTACGCATTTTATTTTCGGTATCGCCCGCTAGGGGCGCTTATGTTTTGGTAAACAGTGCAAATGGCGGCGTGTTCGTGGCAATGTGAATCTTAAACGATTGAATAATATATATATTAGACTGTTTCACGAGTACACACGTCTTCATTATTCAATGCGTTCAAATTATTAAAAGCAAGCACTGTCACAGTTAGTATGGCAGAATTTTCAGGGAGTCACACGGACTCCTGCATATGTCAAATCAGGGAGTCCGATAGTAAATCAGGGAGTATTTGACTCCGGACTCCAGTTAATTTCGCACCATGGTAGATGTGCAATGGGTTGGTACTGTATTGAGTGTTAAAGTTAGTGCACAAAGTGTATTGTCATCTGTGTACTTGCAATATATAAATCTGGGTGCATTATAATATCATAGATGAAAATGTTACAGAGATCAGGTTCAATGACTGCATTTCTTCTATACTGGCAGCCACACTGGCATAGTATATATATTGAATATTTCAACAACTTTGTTTTGATCACTGACTATAAGTTGTAGTTTTCTTCCAAGCCAAAGATCACCTCACCAAGTGATGTTTGCAATTTGCTGGACATCATAAGCGTTATTGTCTTTCAAAATTGTTTCTTTG